AAAAAATGGGGAAATACTTATTGTGTGAGAGAATGTTGATGGGAATTAAAAAAAATACAAAACGAACATACAAACAAGAATTAAGGGATGTCAGTTGCAGAATGGAAATTCATCATTTAATGTTCTGGATGACCATTCAATAGACCACAACACTTCTATAATGAAAGACCACTTAATGGTGTACCATATAACAGGCCATACAAGAAGAAAGTCAGGTATTTCTCCCCTACTTAGAGTCCTTGAAAATATATTAAAAAATTCCATGGTTTTTTTACGGCACTTGATTTTTTTTCAAAAAATCCATAGCTATTTAGGTTCCTTGAAAAACATTTTTGAAAATGCATAGCTATTGAGGGTCCTGGAATTTTTTTTTTTAAATCCATTACTATTTAGACTCCTTACATATATTCTTAAGTTCCTTGAAAAATATTCGTAAAAAAGCCATGGCTATTTAGAGTCCTTGAAAACATAAGTTCCTTGAAAAATATTTTTAAAAAATTCTTAGCTATTGAGGGATCTGAAAATATTTTTTTCAAATATGTACGCCTATGTTCTTAGCTATTGAGGGACCTGAATATTTTTTTCAAATATCTACGCCTACTTATAGTCCTAGCAAAAATCTTTTAAAAAAATCCACGCCTGTTTAGAGACTTAAAAAAAATATTTTAAAAATCCTCGCATATTCAGAGTCCTTTTAGAAAACATTTAAAACATCAATGCCTACTTAGGGTCCTTAAAAAATCCACGCTTACTTAGGGTCCTTAAAAAATCCACCATAACTGGATCCTCATGGAAAATTTCAAAACGTTCAGCGCTATATTTCCGCCTCCAGTGTGGTAATGGATTACTAAATAATATCTGAGTACATAAGTACCTGTAAATATTTAAGTGCAACTCCCACACCTGAGTGCATACGACAATATAATTGGTATTAAATTAAAGTCCAACCACTACTCTTGGATATACAACCAACTTCTCGGATCTATGTCCTTCAGGGGTAAATATATACGCTATAGAATAAAAATTTTGTAATTTTTCACACAAACATCAGAGTTTATTTGTCCCGCTAAATATTGACCGATCTTTATCAAAATAACCATGGTTATTCTTTGGCCCAATCCCCTTCTCCATGTTAAAAATCGCGATGTTTGGGTCATAATTGCGGCCTCTGGAGCGACCAGAAAAACCGACAAAAATTAAGTATTTAGTCCATTTCATTCCCTAAATATTAACCGATCTTTACCAAAAACTATAGGGGCTTTCATTAGCCAGAACCCATCCTACATGCAAAATTCGTGAAGATTGGTCCACAACTGTAGCCTGAATCATGTTTACAAATTATAATTTTTATATTTTATATTTCTAGCCTTTAAAAATATTTTTAAAAAATCCACGCTTCTATAGAGTTATATATATTAAGTCCTCAGAAAATATTTTTAAAAAATCTACGTATGTTTATGGTCTTTGAAAAAATATTTTTAAAAACTACGAGCCTGTTTATATCTTTGAACATACATTTAGAGTCCATAGAACATACATTTTTTAAAAAATCACGCCTCTTTATAAACATTTTTTTTAATTAATAGAGAAACATACAGAAGGTCAATAACGCCATCTATATGTGAATATATTATTTAGGAAGATAAATAATAACTATCATACGCCGCCATGGAAGAAATGCCTTGAAATACATAGAGTCCATTATTCCTCTGAAATTCTCTCGAGTTGTTTCCTTATTTCACATCTCTAATGTTACATAAAAAACGAAGGCAGCTCCATCCGTCCACCGTTGACTACCAAGGCGTAGCCTGATGTCAAGTTAATGCTTTTCATTTTTATGCAATCAAAATGCAAATGCATTTTTGCTGTTTTCTGTTGTGGTTCCCCTACGTGTTGTTGTTGTTGCTGTTGTTATTTGATATGCTGTAAATATAACAGTTTTCACTTCTTTTCTGTTAGTTGTTGTTCCGCTACCTCTCTACCACTCTCTCGGACTCAGTAGCCGGGTGAATTGTATAAACAAATAAATTTCCGGATTTTATTAAAATTCAGCACGGGAATTCTTGAGCTAGTATGTTTTTCAGTTCCAACGAATATTTGTGGCTGGGTTTCGAGCTTTTAATGTCAACTCTTGTTGCGCCTTTATCCATTTAAGGAACAACCTAGCTGGGCGTGGTAGAATATTTTAAGTAGCAGCTACTTTACTCTGTTTCACTCTGGCATATCAAGTAAGCGGAAAACTACTTAGTTTATAATTTTACTTCCGCTACAATGCCAACTGGATTTTTTTGGGTTTTGTTTTATTGTTTTTAAAATATTATTATTTTTTGTACTTTTGTTTTCACTTGGCTGGACAGCGAATTGTAAGAAAAATATTAGATATATTTTTTCTTTTTACTGTCGTTTTTATTTAGCTTATTTATTTTTTGATATGGCTTAGCTTAATTCGGAAATATATGCAACAGATTTATGCATAAGCTTCTTTATTTTATGCAGTTTTTGTTTGCCCTTCATAGAATAGGAAAATATAAACAGAGATGTAAGCATTTAATAAAATATTAAAACAACAAATATTAAAAAATAATAAATGTTTAAGATTTAAGGAAATATTTTTCAAAGTGTGGAAATATCAAAAATGACTTAATTTTTTTAAAAAAATATGTTTCATGATCTACCATTGGGAACGAATTCTTTAAATATTTTTTTAGGCGGAGATATTTTTTCAAGCATTCTAACAACTATGTTGTCAGGGTATTATAGGTTTGTGCAGCCCCAAAAGTTTGTAACGCCCTGGGTCCTGGTCCGAGACCCACCTTTAAGTATACCGGTCGTCATATCTCGACTAGCCGATTTAGACATGTGTGTCCGTCTGTCCACTATAATTTTTTGCATGTAGGATGGGTTCTGCCAATGAAGACCCCTATTGGTAAAAATGGGTTAATATTTAGGGTATGAAATGGACCAAATACTTAATTTTTGTCGGTTTTTCTGTTCGCTCCAGAGGCCGCAATTATGGTCCGAACATCGCGAAATTTTACATGGAGAAGGAGATCGGACCAAAGAATAAGCATGCCTCTTTTGATAAAGATCTGCCATTATTTAGCGGGTCAAATGGACCCCGACTTTTGTGTTAAAATTCACAACATTTGTATTCTATAGCGTATATGTTTACTCCTGAAGGACATATACCCGAGAAGTTGTGAGTATGTCCAAGAGGAGTGGTTAACCTTTAAATTGATACCAATTATATTGTCGTATATACTCGGAAGTGGGAGATACACTTTAATATTTACAGGTGCTTACGAATTGATATAGTATTCAGTAACCCATTACCACACTAAAGGGCAGAAATATAGCGCTGATCGCTTTTAAAATTTCCATGAGGATCCAGGTATGGTCAACTACAACGGCTATAATTTTCGGTGATGATCAGATAACAATTTTGGGATGAATTAGACCGGAAACTTAATTGTTGGTGTTTTTTTCGAGTCGATCTATAGGCCACAATTGAAAGCCGAACATCACAACCCAACCCACCGTAAAGGGAATCTGTACTGAATATTAGTAATATTTGTTGACCTCTAGTCGGTCAAAAGGGTACAAATATCGCAAAATATTGCCAAGATCAGAATATAGAACCCCAGAATGTTAGATGTTCGTGGAAGTTGTGTAGGGTATCATATTGTCGGCCCCGTCCGAATATACTGCTTCGTTCACTGGTTAATTTTTCAAATACTCTAACTAGACGAGGATTTTTGTTTAAAATATTTCTTCAAGCACTCTAACTAGGGGTGGATTTTTGTTTAAGCACTCTAACTAGGCGTGAATTGTTTACAAATATTTTTTTAAAGCACTATAACTAGGCGTGGATTATTTACAAATATTTTTTCAAGCACTCTAACTAGGCGTGAATTGTTTACAAATATTTTTTCAAGCACTCTAACTAGGCGTGAATTGTTTACAAATATTTTTTCAAGCACTCTAACTAGGCGTGGATAGTTTACAAATATTTTTCCAAGATTCTGAAAAAAAACTTTTTCAAGAATTTTTAATAGAAGTGGATTTTTTAAAAATATTTTTTCAAGGATTCTGAATAGTAGTGGATTTTTAAAATTTTTTTAATCTCTAAATGAGCGTGTTTTTTTTAATTTTCAAGGAATCTAAACATACGTGGATTTGTTTAAAAATATTGTTTCAAGGATTCTGAATAGTAGTGGATTTTTTAAAATTTTTTAATCTCTAAATAAGCGTGTTTTTTTTAAAATTTTCAAGGAATCTAAACATGCGTGGATTTGTTTAAAAATATTGTTTTCAATGACCCTTTTTATATTTTCAAGAACTGTAAATATGCGTGGTATGTTTAAAAATATTTTTACTATGCATGCATGCATTTTTTTATTTTTTGTTTAAAGATTTTTTAGAATATTGGATTGTCACGTCAAAAATATTAAAACGATATTTTTAAGAAAATTCACTACTATTCAACAAATTAAAAAAATAAACCCATAAATAGAAATATGCATACGCAAATTTCATGTGCGTATGAGTAATGTACATACCTCATACGCCCCCAATTTCCATTTATTATAAATTGTATCAGTCATACGCTCCCACTTAAATTTTTGTACCATTTTTCCTTTTTAAAATAACTTAAAGATAATATTTGCATTATATTATACGAATATTTCCACACAATTGTTTCCTTAAAACGCCACACTCCCAACTATCAATTGTTTCCGCTAAAGTCCATTAAAAATAAAAACACAATATGCCATTATTTATCTTTAATAATTTTCTCTTCTCGTCGTTATCAAATATCACAACTTCAACACAATATTCCGACGATGGTTCATCGACGACCATTCATACAAATTATATAGACTTTATTAAAAAACGTAACCATTCGATTCTTTGTATTGAAAGTTGTGAAAATTTATTAACAATTCTTAATTAAAACACGAACACGCCACATTTGCACACATACACACAAAAAAACCTACCTCTTTGTAAACTGTAAAGCCATCAATTGTGGCCAAAAATAATAAACACGCAGCTGCTGAGGCCTGTATTACCGATTCCAGTTCCATAATTGAATCATAATAAACAATTTCCGCCAATTCATAGATGCGCAGCATGAAAATTAACACCGCCACCGTACAGCTGACATATAAATACTCTATAGAGAGGAGGAGCGTCATGGAAGGAGAAGGACCAAAAGGAAATCGATTAATAAAAAACAACAATGAGTCCATTTCATTTATCTACAAACCTAGAGATTTTTTGATTTCGACAACCCGATGATACCACATTAACATTATGGTCAAAATAATGCCAACAATGGCATTGGCCAGCATCGATGAACCGATGACAATAATAATTGCTGGCATTTCGCCTTCAACGGATGTTGTTGTTGATATTGGTTGAAGCTGTGGCAAATTACTTTGACTTCCGCTCACATTATCAACACTGCTGCCATCAACATTATGACCAGCTACGACACCATCACTCCGACTCCCATCTGCCGCCGCATCTCGTATACCATGAGGCAAAGGCAGCAGTGCCCTTGCTAATTCAATGCTATTAATGGCCAGCAATAATAGGGCCACGGCTGCACGTAAATTATGAAATGTTAACAAAGTTTTATGGCACCTGTACAAGTAGAAGAAAAATAGGAGAAGAAGAAGATGTAATTGCAAGAAACGATGTGAGAATAAAAATGTAATAATGAAAAAAAACAAGAAAGTAAAATGAAAAATATATTAAATTGACTCTATTTTGTCCAATAAAATGCATTACCGCATCACCGCTACTACTTGAAGCCAGCCAGGTCACAGCTAGACAAATATAATAAATTTAATTGTAATTACCCGAAGAATTGAGTTCAAAGCTGGAGTGTTGGAAAGTGTTTTATAAGATTGTCTCTTGGTGCACAGCACAAAGTAATTGTTAATAAATATTCATTTTGTTTTAAGATGAAAACTGTGAGCTATAAGAAATTAGAACAAATTTGGTGAGGACACAAACATGATTAGCTACATAATTGAATTTTATTGTGACGGGAAAATAAATGACAATTAAGTGTGTAGAAAAATATCTACAGGTACGTCTGGCTCTGTTCTGCTACTGCTCCGGTATGGTTATTGGTATCACAAATAACTGAATACGAAGGAATTTTTGGTTGTGGCGATCCGGCTTAGGCTTTGGTTCCCGCTGTAAACTGTTGTATTAAGACCCACGACTTTATTTCGACTCAGAATTTTAAATAAAGACCCACGACGGCTCTTTATTTCAGTTGGTTTAAAATCACTTTTCTTTACCTAAAGGCCCGCGACGGTTCTTTATTTCGGTTTGCTTCAAATCACTTCTCTTTGGATAAAGACCCAAGACGGCTCTTTATTTCAGTTGGTTTAAAATCACTTTTCTTTGAATAAAGGCCCACGACGGTTCTTTATTTCGGTTTGCTTTAACTTAACGGTTTGCTTGAACTTTATGAGCTCTCTCGGCATGTTTAAACATCGATTTTCATTTCAATAAAACAAATGTTAACTGAGCATCAACAAATACTGTTGTCTTTGGTAAGCGGTAAGCGAACCATTATTGTTCTTTCCAAAAACTAAACTAATGCGTTTTCTCTTCCCTTTTTTTCACCTTTCATTTTTATTTTCGTGGATGATAATTGTAAGGAAAGTGCTTCTACAACTGAAATATTTTCGAGTCTCACAGCAACAAACCGACCATTTTACAAACATTTATCATTAAAAATCTCTTATCTTAAGTAGAATGTTTACCAAACTAGATACCCGTTTAACTTAATTTTCTTTCGTTTACAGAAGAGACCCAGGCAAGACATTCACTATATTTATTAAACGAAAATCCGTTTTCGCTACGTGAACAACCACTTACATAAATGCAGCATATGAAATGTTTCGCCTTTTACTCGATTATTCGTTTTATTATTTTCGTTAACCCTTTGATTTTTATTCTATCTAAGGAAATATCATATAGCCTGTCCTAGGTGATGGTATTGCCATCTACCGTACCATAGTAACAATAAATACCAGAATGTCATCCTAAGATTAGTTCTTGTGTTAGTTTCATTAATGTTTTCTTTGTTATTTTATTCTAGCTATGTCGATGATAGCCTGTCCTAGGGGAAGGGGCTGCCATCTATAGTAGTCTGAAAAGAACACATGCTTGCATTTTTTCCAGAGGTTGTGGTCTTTGCATAAATTGTGTTATTATTTTCCTCTTGAGTAACCTCCTGTCAGTCGAATTTTGTGTTATCCTTATCCTGTAGTTGTTTTTTTTAGAATGTCAGGGGCTTCGGACGCATTCCATTTAGATGGGAATGTAAGCTTATTTTTCAGATATTTCCTCTTATTATTATTTTCTCTCTTGAGTGACCACCTGTCAGTCTAATTTTGTGTTATCCTTATCCTGTGGTTGGTTTTTTAGAATGTCAGCGGGCTTCGGGTGCATTCCATTTGGAAGGGAATGTAAGCTTCTTTTTTCATATATTCGAAATCAACTTTCAATGTATTCGAACGATGGAAGCATTCGAACACGGTACCCATCAGATTTAAAATGTTTTCCTGTAGGGCTTCCCAGAAGCATTTTACTTAATTTGTCCTTGTGCTAGTTGTGTCAATCAATCATTTTATTGTAGCCTGCCCTAAATGAGGGCTAGAGATTGGTAGATGGGTTGTTGGTTGGGTTGTTGTCCTGGAAATAACGTTTCACTTAATTTTGTTCGGTGGTCCCTATCTCCAGTCATTCTTATTGGATAATTGTCTATATTCGAAAACCACTTTCCTCTTGGATGGCGCTATCTATTAGAGCATTGATTTAAACATATTCGAAGCCCACTTTGAAATAATTTTTCCTAGTGCCACAAATTGTTCCTAGTGCAACAATGCCAGAATGCCGTCTTAGAAACTTAATTGCAATAAAATCACTTTGACTATCATTAGTTTAGCAATCATTGGAAACTTATGATCAATTACCATGCTGGACCAAGTTGATGGATTCAGAGCTTAAGACCTCTTAAATCGTGTTGTTTCGGTAGCATCCATACCAGCTCCGCTAACGAGCTGTTTCATTGGCACCCAACGTGACATCGGTAGCTGAGAGACATTTCCGAAACATAATCCTACTGCTGCTGCTCACCATACACCTGGTGAACTAATACCCCAAGTAAGACCAAACTTCCCAGCACAAGCGACGTTATTAGCTTACGAACGTAACGAGCTTCGTCGTACGACCCCTTAAGAACAAAGGGAAAGGGTACTTACTCTTGAAGTCAACGGTCGACTATGCGAACTCAAAAAAGTATTATAGTCGCTGGGATCCAAAAAAGAAAACTGTAGAATACTGCATAGCGATGGTGGCAACATTATGTGAAAGGAACGTACCAGAAACTGTGGTGGAAGACTTGTATTCCTGTTACATCAATCTTTCACATACATGCATGTCTCCTTTCATCTTGACTCCAGTCATCATTCCCTTTATTCAGACCACCTTCCTATCATCGCTTTTGTTAATAAACCATCCGAATTTATAATATGTGAACGCCATACTATTCTTAGCTAAACGAGGTGCAATCTAGAAACAGGAAATCGAAGGCTTGTTGAGTGAAACAGGGAGTTCACCAAGGTGGTTTTTATTTATTTAGAACCTCTATCTTTACGATATTCCAAAATCACAACAGGGCATAGAAATCGTAATGTATGCGAACATTATTTATGGACTGGATATAAAGATTTTGCTAAACATAATTGTCGACTAAGAAAATATTCCGTCTCCTTATGACACTAGTGTACCAACTTCATAAGGAGACGAGAATCATGCCCGTCTATTGGCATAATCAAATGTTGTCGATGCAGTACCTACTTGGGTGTTATCGTCGGGAACACCTCTCCCATAACCTTATGGACAGGCTTCCCCAGCCTAGGCACGTCAGAAAAGATCTTCAGGATCTACAAAAATAGGTCCAAAGTTACAAGGTGTAAATCAGGCCAGAATAACATGCATACAGATGCAGCTGTACTTGGAGACCTTCATTCATCCTTAGTACCTGCTACCTAGACAAACACGAATAGTCTTAGTACAGCTGATATTAGGATATGTGCATTGCGGCGTTTGCACTCCATCACCTACTGGGCTCGATACTTAACACATGCCCAGCATGTGGACTAGGTCCACACGACATGTTGCACGTATTCAACTGCCCAGCAAAACCTCCCAACCTGTCTCCGAATTCTCTATGAACGAGCCCTTACAGGTTGGAATCTTCCTGATTTTTTACGCTTTCTTGTATTTCAGTTGCTACAACAACTTCACCGGTGTGAAAGCCTAGAAGAAACACAAAAAATTGCACTAAAATAAAATTGAAAGCCCTGGCGTAGAGTTTCGATGAAGCTCAACGTTGTAGTATAATCCCTTAATAATATATGCAACACAACGTGAACACGTATACGCCATGATGTACAATATAAAATATTCATTATTTAAAAAAAAAATATGAAAACATGTAAAAAACATTTTGTTGTTATTCCTTTATCAATTTCAACACTTTTGCTTAATCCGCTTTTCGCATATTCGTTTGTTAATCCAATTTTTCCCCGTTTTTACTTATTTCACCTTGACTTAACAAATTGTCGCTTTGTTTTTTCTTGCTAGTTATCTTCTCTTTTCTAAGCCATTACATTTGTTATTTTTTTCAGCAACAACAAAAAATCATAGAGGACAGAGACAAAAATCCCTGCCGCCCGAAAAAAAGAAACGCTAAACACTTTCTAATGGAGTATCCACTTGGAAACAATTCTGAATTGGGGGAAATAAATATTTCTGCAAACAAACCGAATGCCATAAAGTATGCAAACATATCAATTATTCACGTTTATTTTCGCTAACCAAACAACAAGCAGAACGACAAAAACGAAGTGAATCTGTAGAGCACGGCATGTGAAGCTGACAAAAAGTAATTAATTCTGGGAGTTCCAATTTTTTTGTTTTGTGTTTCATTGTTGTCATTCCGAATACCTTTTGCGAGTGGTAGAAAAGTAGTGGCAGCGGTAGATTTTCACAGTTGTGCCCTTTTGTTGTTGCTGTTGTCATTTTTTTGGTGTTGATGTTGTTGTTGCCCGGTTACAGTATGTTGTAACGGAATGTGTAATACATCATCATTGGCCATGCACTACGACTGCCAACACCAATTTGTATATGGATGGGAACATGTGCATTTGTGTTGCCATTTGCGTATGTGAGTGTGCAAGTGTGTCTACAAGCCTGAAAATATGCAACAGTAATAAAATGCATTGCACATAGCACCCAAATATATGGCAAACAAAAATTGTGTTTTTTTCACACCATTTACGTAAATTCCCGTTTTAAAAACAACTAACGGGAATTTGTAGTTATTGGCATGTTCAGATAGATAGATGAGCAGACATGAATAAATTCCAAATGGTAGTTGGAGGGGGACATGGAGAAAAAAATTCCGAAGAGATTTTTAAGTGAGTTGCCGTAAAACCACTCTCAACCATTCAGTTAAAATTTTCGAAACATAAACAAAAAGGAATCGAAGATTAGCGCCGGTATGAGGCTATACAGAAGATTTTGAGAACAAAGTACATTACTAATTTTTGCCTCTGAACAGATATTGTGCGTAGATTTCGAAAACCTAATGTTGTCAAAATAAAATTATGAAAATGTTGTATTCATATGTCTACATGAGACTACCTTATATAATTGAGTAGTTTCTTTTGAAAGTGGTGCCACATGTTTCATTTTATTGGGGAAACATTTTCCTTTGGTTTGCTCAACTTCATTGCCAGCTTTTTTGGCTCCAAATTCTTCCATCTTTCGGGAAGAGTGTCATATTTGTTCTAAATCTTTCTTTTAGGGGACACACCATCTAACATTGGCTGCTTATTACACGTGGCTGCTAACTTCCCGACCGCTTTTCCACAATTCATATCAACCGGTATAATTTTCCTGGCGGAAAATCCATAATAACTGGCTTCGGCTTACCCTTCATCTTCATATCGTAAAACAATTATACACTGCTGCTCACACTTCATAGCATGTATTCCCTTATGAGCATGCTCCATATTCACCGGCTTTAACATTCAAGCGGACTCTGTTCCATAACAGGACTGGAACTAATTTCTGTGAATTAGAAATGTGTGCAAATGGGATTTCAGTTGTCATTTCCCGTTCCTTATCTGCAATGGCCTTCAATAGCTTAATCACCCGTTATGAACCACCGCATCGTACATCATTTCCACGATTGATTTCAACCGGATTAATTTTCCTGGCCGGAAGATCCATAATAACTGACATCCTCTTACCGGTCCAATTATAGTTTGTTGTCAATTCACCGCCATTGTCCGCCGGTTTCATATTCATATCGGCAAACCAATTATACATTGGCGGCTCACACTTCTTAGCTTCACAGCTTCAACATTCAAGCCGGACCCTGTTCCATTAAAGGTTTCTCTCTCTCTCTTCCAAAAGTTTCCTTTCCTCTTTTCCCATATTTGTTTCCTGCTACATGGGCTTTCACTGATTCGCCACTTATTCATTTTAAGTTTGCTAACGTGTTTTTTTTTTTAATTCGCGGCATTTGTCTTTAGTCTCTTCATCCTTTACCTGCAACGACTGAAATCTTTCCTCCTTTCCCCATGATTTTCCTGCTGCCTGGACTTTCTCTGCAGTCACCACAAATTCACTTTTACGTTTGCTAACTTTCTTTTTAATTCGCGGTATTTGTCTTTAGCCTATTCATATTTTGCCTGCAACGACTTCAACCTTTCTTCAAGGGAACCATTGGCGTCTTCCTTGTTTTTAGAGAAATTTCTATCTTCTTATTCTTGCACATAACTCTGTTACGTCACGGCTTTTTTCTTCCAATTCTTCATTATAGTCTTCATATAGTATATCGGCCACAAGCTTCGGCATGCATAAATCGACTCAGAAAGTGATTCTATGCATATTCTCAAAAGGACCCATGTGTCTATCTCGTTTCCTTTTACAAACATATGCATAAAGACATAATACACTGTACCACAGTGTGGCGAAGGGTATACAAATGGTATTAACCACTTTCAAAGTAAACGATACAATTATGCCGTTGGTTATCACATATTCTTAGAAGTAGTATTACTTAATTGGAATTTTAAAAGGAATTTTTTTTAATACAAAATGGAGAAGTAGGATGGATGTGGGCAGTTGGTTAAAATTATTTCATATTACATTTAAGTTCAGAGAATTTCCATCAGATGCCGCCTCGTGTATATCGTAGACACGAACCACCAGTGATGAAGTGTAATAGCAAAGATATAGCACTAAAAAGGTTTCATATTGTTCTCTCGGTTGTTATGATATCGTAACATCTGTTGGAAATTGTTTACGTAGCAATTGTCGTATCTTTATACTTTTATGTCTTTGTGCCGGTCACAATGTTGCATTGCTTCAAGTGGTTTAGGCACATTTTCCTTTTCTGCTCCCATACTAGCCTGTTGAGTAAGAGTAAACTCTCGTCACATTAATTGGCCAATGATATCGCCTTTGCTGGAAAATTAGTTATTACTCCAGGTGTTCGTCCACAGCTATATACTGAAATAGGATCTTAGGCGATGAGCAGCTCCCTGAATAGGTGAAACCTTGACAATCAGATATCCCATGTTTCAAGAAATTTCGGCGTTCTGATATTATGAAGTCGGATGGTTTAATAACGAAAACAATGATGGGGAGATGGTTTGATCCGAGAGAAATTACGTGTTTTCGGATTGCATCATTTATCAGACCTGGGAAGAAAATACTTAATGAGTGCGAGAAAAAGAGGAATTACAGACAGTTAATTCGAGACGCCCAGGATCGAGATTGAGGATGAAAAAATAAATTCGGAACTGAAGCGGATTAATTGATACTATCCACCTTATAAAGAAAGACTATCTGAAATCGATTATGTGGTATGTCTGAAAACATAGCGCTAAATAAAAAGGAATCTTTGAAGATGTCATATATGGACCTCGCTCTATTGCTTCCAGAAGATACAAATTTGGAGTCTCTGAAAATTCATTCTTCAAATTAAATAGAATGGAGGTAATGGAAACCTTCCAATATGTAGTGTCTGTAGAGAGAATTTAATTACAAACTCCAAAGATGGAGACAGTCCATTGTCGCCGGTCTGTAAAAGTCCAGGTGTAAGAAGGCCACTGGATAATGCCTATAAATTCCTGGGTTACAATCAAAAAACTATGAAAAGCAGAAATCCTACAGTTTAGCGGATCAGATTGGATGGGTCAGCTGAAAAAAAACGAAGATGACGGAACGGATCTTGGAAAACAGGAACAAGAAGTCGATCTCCAGAATGTAGATAAAAATTGTGAAAAAAAATTGCAGAAAAAAACCATGGTAGAAGAAGAGATTATTGATGGTGTAAAACCGACAAATGTCTAGAATAACGGTGTATCATGGAAAAGATAAGAAAGTAGTAGATAAAGGAGAAACAGTTAAAGCCAAATCTGAGCAGATAGATCCGAAGATGAGACAGCTGTACGTGGGAACGTAGCTAATATTAAAGAAATAAAAGGAAACGAATTAAAGAATATTCCTTCTGTCAAGGTCAGAGCACATAAACATCTTTATCGCTGGAAAAGTGTAGAACCTGGAGAACAGAATAAACTGCTGAAGAAAAGCGTTATTGTCTGGATGATGAAAGCAGTAGATGAAGGTTGAGGAACTTCTAAGGCAGACTCTATAGAAAATTGGGTGCGATGATTCGTGGATACTGTCACGTAGAATCTGCGGCATCAGTTTATAATATCCATAATTATAGTGTATAATAGGTAATGATTAGTATTAATTTTTAATATACATTATATTAGAATAATAGATTTATATAAGAATTTTCAGAAACCACCACAAGTGATCAAGAGAAGATAGTGGTCTTATTTAGGTGCCAGGATTTCGACCAGATATCTTTGAATAAAACATTGTATCCCAAATAACACACTACTGACAAACCGATTACATCAACTGTTAAAAATTTATGTTGCAAATTTTAACCATATTTTTATCGATTAACTAGTTATTATTCGTTAACAATTTTCCTCAGTGTATGCTATTTTGAATTTACTATTTTCTTTTGGAAAATCTAACAAACCACCATCCAACCACCCGCCAGCCGTCTTTCTCTTTCTCCATTAATTTATTGATTTATTTGTTTTTCAAGCAATGAAGATTATTAAAATGCAACTGAATGATGGCAAAATTGGAACACTCCGAAGGGAAGAGTAGTGGAGTTCATTTTGTGGACTCAATATACCGCAATTCGCATGTGGCTAAAAGCTCTGGTAAGCAAAAAAAAATGTTTCGAACAAAAAATAAAAAATTACAATGAAGTCAACCCGGCTGGGGTTTTACAAAACTGGTTATTACAGAACACTTGTAAAGTAGCCAAGTGTAAGGTGGTGTGATTGAGGTGGCGGTATGTAGGTTAACACCAACACATACACACTTTGCAACACACATGCTATAATACATATTCCATTCATGGTGCTTAATATGTGGCCATGTAAATTGATGTGTGGGTGTGTGTTCACTTCACTCTGTGTCTGTGCACATTTTATTATTGGTCATGAAAAAACCCCCGATTTTTTTTTAATATTAAATTTCAATGAAATGCAGCGGCATCACATGTGTTTGTGTGCGAGCACTTTTGAATTTAAAATTTTCATATGGAAAATTCATTCGTTCAATTCATTCATTGTTTGTCGTTCAATGATATTTTTCACTTTTTGGCCAGAGCTTTTTCGTTGTCGTTGTTTTTGTTCTTCCTTTGTTTATTCATCTGTTTATACAATATTTTTACAACGGCTCAATATGTTCAATGTTGTTGTTTTCGTTATTGTTTTTTTTTTTTTTTAATTTGTCGTGGTTTGCTGTTGTCCAACTGATTTTCCATTTCAATATCAGACATCTGTTTTGTACATCCATGTTGGATGTTGTTCATTTTTATACCACAACCCAAAAGCCGATTGAATATTATTTTTAGTTGTATGAAAATTAAAATTTTTATTTTGGAACTTTTTAGTTAAATAGTTTCTTTGAAATTTTTTGGATTGCTTTGTACGAACTGAAAATTATCATTTACTCTTAGCACGTTTGCAGATCAAGTCTAATATGCGTATAAGCGATAAAATTAAGTTTGCTTTAGGTGTTCATATTTTGATGAAATATAAGATGTTCAGATTATCAATATTTGTATACCCTACACAACTATGTCGTCAGGGTATTATAGCTTTGTGCAGCCCCAAAATTTGTAACGCCGCGAAATATTGGCCCTAGACCCACCTTCAAGTATACCGATCGTCATATCTCGACTAGCTGAGTCGATCTAGACATGTGTGTCCGTCCGTCTGTCCATTACAATTTGTAAACACGATACAGACCACAGTTATGGACCAATCTTCACGAAATTTTGCACGTAGGATGGGTTCTGGCCAATGAAGACCCCTATTGTTTTTGGGAAAGATCGGTTAATATTAAGGGGATGAAGTGGACCAAATACTAAATTTTTTCGGTTTTTCTGGTCGCTCCAGAGGCCGCAATAATGACCCGAACATCGCGAAATTTTGCATGGAGAAGGGGATCGGGCCAAAGAATAAGCAAGTCTGTTTTGATAAAGATCGGTCAATATTTAGCGAGTTAAATGGGCCCCGCCTTTTGTGTGAAAAATGACAAAATTTGTATTCTATAGCGTATATATTTACCCCCGAAGGACATAGACCTGAGAAGTCGATATTATATCCAAGAGGAGTGGCTGACCTTTAAAGTAATACCAATTATATTGTTGTATGTGCTCGGGTGTGGGAGTTACACCTAAATAATTACAGGTATCTCCGTATTTGTATATTATTTAGTAACCCATTATCACTCTAGAGAGCGGAACTATAGCACAGATCGCTTTGAAATTTATCATGAGGTCCCAGTTATGTTCAAGGACAACGCCTATAATTTTCGGTGATGATCAGATAATAATTTTGGAATGAAGTGGACCGAAAATTTAATTTTTTGTGTTATTTTCGAGTCGAACTATAGACCACAAATAAAAGCCGAACATCACAACACAATATTGGAAAATATTCGGAAAATATGTCAGTGTGGAAAGAGGTGCTGTTTACCTCTAATCGGGCAAGTGGGTGCAAATATCAGGAAATTTTTCCCAGGCTCGGAATAAACATCCGCAGAAAATTTGAGTTCCGTGGTAGTTGTGTAGGGTATCGTATGGTCGGCCCGGTCCGACTATTCTGCTCCGCTCACTGGTTTTTATTTAATTTTTAGGATAGGCCCCAGCATTATTCGAGAATTTGGTCCCGTTTTTCAACCTAATTGGCTCCAATCTAATGTTTTTATTCTCATTG